ATGTAGCTTACTTCACCAATATCCACGTAAAACAAAATGGTTTGCATAACATCATTCACGGCGGTACGGGGATAACGACACAGATTTTACTACATATTTAAACTGAGCAGTGTGTTTTTCTCCATATGTTTGACTGACTGTATTTTATTATGATAACAGGCTGCATTGTCAAGGTAGCAATGCTTAACTGTGTGAGCGCATGCGGCGCAGGCGCAATCACTTGAATTTTTTCCTTCTAACAGTAGAAGCAACTACTCCTTTTAGTCCTAAAGATAATCGTAATTGTAAAAAGTTTGCCTTTATTTGTGTACATTCACAATAAAAACAAATCTTTGTGCTTTTGTAAAATAAGCCTAAAGAAAAATAGGATGTCACTTTCTGCCGTCTGTTTCCTTTCGCGCAGCACAAAAATTAACCGAAACTCTGCACACTAGGCTACTTGTTGCACAGTTTTTCTTTTGTTTTCTTAATTTATTAAGTAAAAATATATTTCTTGTATATGCCTATTTATCGTTATATATATAGGCCTATAGCCTAGCTTTATTATGTTTTTCTCCACTCGCATGTGATATGATGACCATGTAAATCCTCATGTTCTGTTGTTTGCTGCTTTTTGCGCATGTAAAATTAATCCCCGGGAAACAAATGTTAGTATTATTTAACGGGTCACAGACACGTATCCTTTCTAATTTAATTAAATTCGAATTTAAAATACGTTAACTTGTCAGTTAACGGTTAATAATCGGTTAACGAGCATCGGTTAGGAAAAATAACCAAAATGAACATCCCTAGTAGCAATCACAACCCTTGTGGTCTTACCTCTGACCTTGATAAACAAACCAGAGGTGAAAGTCTTTCTGGGGTGTTTGAACGGGACTGTTGTATGTTCCTTCTTTTCCTGAGGAGAATGATGATTCTCCCTCATCAGCAGAGAAAGATTGAGGATGTTGCCTTTGAAATGTGATCTGGGGGGTCAGTAGGGAGTATTAGAAAGGGGAAAGGTCAGAACCCGAAGGACTTGGGTGTTTAACTATTTCAGAAGTGCTTGGAGCACATTTCCTTTGGCTTCCTTGCTTCTTTTCCCCCCCTTTCACATTCTCAAATTGCTTTGGTCTTTTTTCTTCTTCTTGCTTTTCTGTAAACTCACCAGCCTGATGGGAAATGTTTTGCAGCATTAATCAGCAGTTGGTCTGTAATCTCTTTTTTATGTTTGGACCCGTGGAGCCTTGTGAAGTTTCACTGCCTGGAGTGGGTTTTGGAATCTGCGCTATTTTTACGAAGGTCACTCCATTGGCTACACCTTTGAGCCTTTGACTTAAGAGAGCAGGAAGTCATTGATTCATCACAGTATTTAGGCTATATCTCCCTTTTCCTTAGACTTTCCTCTGCTGAATTAGAAGTCTTGCAGAGTCTTTTCGGGAGCGCAAGGATTTCATGTGAGTGAGTATATAAGAATGGATGTTCAATCTGTAAACATGGCATCACTCTTCTCAGTGTGAATCTTAAAATAATCTTTTAATAGATTTTTTCTGTTTTGCCAGGGTTAATTAATCCTAGAAATCAGGTGAGCTGATGTGTGAAAGGTCCCGTTAAGTGTGTTTGTGTGTTTATTTAGTGATGCAAATTTGACATGCACAACCAGAGCACATAATGTCACTCAACCAACCATCTGTAGGGTGTCAAAATGAAGAGAAAAAAAACCGAAATGTCTCCCCCATGAGAATTTCCGTTTCTCTATTTACCTTACAAATATTTATAGTTCTCTTAGGGATGCATCAATAATTGTTTAATACAACTAAATATTATTATGTCTTTCAACTGGTATGTTACATAATCTGCTACAATTGAAATGTTACATAATCTGAGATTTTTTTTTTACTTTTAAATGCAATCAAAATATTTCCTCTTAGTAGTATTTATATTTCTGGTCGAAATATTTATTCATTTCTGTTAGAAATAGTTATATTTCTCTTAGGAATGCATCAATAATTATTTTATATAATCAAATAATTTTTTCCCCTGAATATTATATGCTCAGTGGAGCAGATAATATCATCTGTAATGGTTGCAAGAATAAAGTAAAAATACTGTCACTCTTGCTTTTGTTGGGTGTTTGTTTATTCAAGACTTCAGAAAGTTATTGTAAAAGATTCAAAAAACACATATAGCTTCATGCTCCAAACACTTACACACCCCATATTGAGCTGGTAAGGATCTGTTGAACATCTCCAGGCATTCTGTGTGTTAAGTTGAGAAGTCACAGGTCAGTTCTCACTTCCCTTCTTAACTTGACAGGGTCACATGCCTGCTGTGAGGGAGCTGCGCTGCTGTCAGTCACAGGCTTCAGGCTTCAGGCTTCATGGGTAGATGATCTTCTTACTGTTTGAGGTTTGTAGGGCAGGGCATTGTGGAACAGTCAAATTTTGGTGAAAATGAGATCAGTGCTGTTATTTGATTATATGAGGCCGTTGTTTTGTTGAAGCAGTTTTATGGAAGTCTTTTGTTTTTTCCTTTCTTCTTTTTTTTTTTTTAAGTGGGAACCACTCATTTTTCTTTTCTAACTCTTTCTATCTCTTTGATTTGTTTATTTTTCCTTTTCTTTTTTGCTATCCTCGTTTCTTTTTCTATTCCTTTTTTCCTTCTTGTTTCATTTGTTTCTTTTCTAGAATGTCAAATAGCTCAACCACTCTTTTTGACTCGGGTCCTCCTGAGACCTTGTGTTTATGAGTGCGTCTTGGTCTTACATAAAAGGGCAGATGGGCCCAGCTGGACGATCTTTCTCTCTCTCACTCTGTGCTCAGTAAGACAGATCCTTGGAGTAAACCGCAACGGCTGAAACACCTAGGCATTCCAGAGCACAGGGACAGGGATCACAGAGTGCAACGGATAACGACTTAACTAAACAATTCATTGATTTACTGGAAGGTAAACACAACATATCCTCATGTGTGAGCACAGAAGGGCCATAGAGCTACAGTCCCATAGTATAATTTATGTTGGACTGTAATATTATAGATGGATAGATGCAGAGAAGTATTTAGTAGCATTTTGTTGAAGAGCTTTACATATTTAAAGGTGGTTCATCTTCCAGGTATTCTGACCTCAAGGATCCCACCGGTTTCAGTCTACTCTGAATTTCCTCCTTATTCTCAGCACAACCCATCACAGGTGCCCAGCTGCTGAACTTCACCCAGTCTCAGGTCTAAAAGCTCACTTTAACCTATGTGTCCACTGGTGCAGATGAAATCCCTGCAATACCACTCAAAATGCTAGAGATCTGCCACTTTGGGTGTGTCTCTGTTAATATACAGTAGCGTGGCAGTGATTGCTTATATTACATGGTAAAAAACCTGATTTAAATACATTAATTTGCAGCCATGATTGCATTAATTTGTAATAATCCATTAGAAATTACAGGATACTTTCCATTGTTTATGACAGATGTCACTGCCTTAACCTTACTGTGTTTGGTTGCCGCACATCTAATTTGCATTTGAATGTTTCTCAATGTTTTGACACATTCGCCACTTGCTCTGCTTTGCTGTCAAGCCCAAAATCCCCTGCGCAAGTCTTTTACTCAGCTCCTGTAGAGAATGAATTGAAAATGCCTCCTCAGCTTTGCTCACTCTGCTTCAGTGGGTTTGTACAGTTAGACTGTTTTCAGGTTCAGGAATAAGTGGTGGTTGTCCAAAAAGCATTCTCACTAGGGTTTTTGTGTTCTTGTTCAAGAAATGTTGCATTGTTTAATGCTTAACAAAATTAATATTTCATTTGGGCTGAAAGGCAAACTTTAGATTATTGTTCATTTTGCTGATGCACATGTGTCTGTGTGATCCTGCGGGGAGCAATGGCCCAGGGAGCTCAAACTCAGAAGCTGCAGTGAGTCTAAATGTGTGTGTTTATGTAGTGCCTTGTGTAACCTGAAGCAAACCTAAAATACATTAAATAAAATAAAAACCGCAGGAGTACCATTACAGCTGGCACTCTTGCTGCCATTAAAATCGTTTCAGCACTGTTACACAGCCAGCTCATAATCTTTTTATATTTAGACAGTCAGCCTATCACAGCGGTGGTACATCATCTAAATATTTTCTAATTCTTTTTAATTATTGCATGCAATTAACTCGCAATGGCACTCATGATAAAACACTAAGTTTACAATTACAACACAGTGGTCAACTATGCATTTTGTAAAGCAAAATTGCTCACTAGAATTATCAAGTGCAGTCTGGATTCATCCCCAGAGCTGCAGGGAAGATTGCGAGCATAGGCGCTGAATGTTCATCTCCCGCAGCATGCTCACTGTGCAGACAGAGCGCGTGCTTGGATCAGATCGTGAGCTTGCCTTAGAGGTCAACATGAAGAGCATCTGATGAGAACAGATGGAGAGAGTAAACTTTAAATCAGGCCGACAAGACCAAATATTTGTCTTGTGCACATAACAGTGATTTCAGTTCACATCATGTGCGCTCCAGCACGCTCTCTGAGCCCTCAACAGTCCTTGCATTCAATTTAGGAGTTTTCACGAAATTCACCCAAACTTTGACATGTGACTAACTTCTTGCTTTCTTTTAGTTTCTTCTTGTAACACGTTTTTATTGATAGAGAGTTATAGGAAGTAGTGGGACTGGAGTTATGAATTGACAACCCAAACTCAAACTTGCATCACTGTGGGAGCACCATATGAATGAGGCATGTGCAGTATCACTTCACCATGGCATTAACGTTTTTGGTTTTGTTTTGGCAATGTAGTTGACTTGTGCCAAGCTAAAGTTAACCTAAAACCATTTTATACGAATTGTATGCATTTTGAATGACTTGGATGGCCATACATAGCATATTATGTATCCACTATCCAATTACTCGATTCAAATTTTATTGTGTGATTCTGTTTTGTGTGTGCTTATTGCAAACAAAATTTGTTTACTCCCTGACTCATGAGAGTGATCCCAGTGAACATCAACATTTTCATTTCATTCGTTTGTGTGTCTGTGTTTCAGAACGGAGCAGTTCCAGTAGAGCCAGTAAAGAAAGATGAAAACTCCAGAAGGGGAAACTGGGGCAACCAGATTGAGTTTGTCCTCACCAGTGTTGGCTATGCAGTGGGTCTGGGAAATGTCTGGAGGTTTCCTTACCTCTGCTACAGGAATGGAGGAGGTAACCATTTTTGACTTTATCCTTCTTTTTCTAATATCCATCTAGTCTGTCTTTCTGTGCCTTTCCTGCACGGTTCAGTTAGCATTTTATAATTTCTTGCTAGATTCCTAAAATAGAATAAGTTAATCATTTTCATCAGGCTGTAAGTATGAAAGTCTATGGATAAAAGTGAAAGTGAAAGTGACGTGACGTGTAGCCAAGTATGGTGTTCCATACTCGGAATTTGTGCTCTGCATTTAACCCATCCAAGTGCACACACACAGCAGTGAGTAGTGAAACACACACACACCCGGAGCAGTGGGCAGCCATTTTTGCTGCAGCCCCCGGGTAGCAGTTGGGGGTTTGGTGCCTTGCTCAAGGGTCTCACCTCAGTCGTGGTATTGAGGGTGGAAGAGAGCACTGGTCATTCACTCCCTCCACCTAGAATCACTGCCGGTACCGAGACTCAAACGCACAACCTTTGGGTTAGAAGTCCAACTCTCTAACCATTAGGCCACGACTGCCCTTTCCAAAATTCTTTGCTCCCTTAAAAGGGTACTCATTTGGTATCGAGTCTCATAACACACCTCACTTAAAATAGACCAGGCTAGAGTAAGCAAGGGTCTGTAGCAGCAGGTTCCCAATGGCCTGGCCCAGAAACCTCTGCCCCATGATCTCATATTCCTAGAGCTGTCTCTAATCAGAAGCCATACCCTGAATTAGCCCAGAATTCAAATAAGTAACTGAACTCCAGGCCCTTTAAACAAGGATGGATTATGGTCCTGTAGGGCCACAGGGCACCAGCAGCTTTTTGTTTATTCATTAAACTTTATTGTACTATTTGTGTGCATCTTCAATCATTCATTGCATTTCATTAGATCCATAATATTATTCAAGCAATATTCACCTATCTGCATCAGGACGAAGTGCCTTGCTTCTTGACATCAGGCTGTTGTGGGCCCCCTGGCACATCAACCCCATTGCCCCAGGCCATAATTTGCCCTGGTATTCAAAACATTCAAAGCACTGAATCCACATTCCATTCCATTATGCAGATTATCAGCACAGTTGGAATGCAGCTCGTCCAATCAAATTAGATCTGTTGTGTAACATCAGGTGTTACTCACTTATTTACATAAGCATTAGGGAACTCTATAATTGAAACCAGACCTTGGCTATTCTTTGTGTCATTTTTAAACTACTTTTGTTTCCTACCATTTATGTAAATAAGAACACCTACATGTCTGAGTTCAGCTTGAAGACTAATGTGTCAGGATAAAATAATTGTTATGTAACTCTGTGGATGTGTGTGTCACAGGTGCCTTCATGTTCCCATACTTCATCATGCTGGTGTTTTGTGGCATCCCTCTGTTCTTCTTGGAGCTCTCCTTTGGGCAGTTTACCTCCCTCGGGTGCCTGGGAGTCTGGAAGGTCAGCCCCATGTTTAAAGGTGAGCAAGAGGCTGTTAAGGGAGGTGTGAGAACATCTAAAACATTTTCATGACAACTGAAAAGTCACAGATAAAGCTATGTGGGTTGGTTTGGCCTTTAATGCATGGCATGACCTGTTTGACATGTTAAACTAGTAATTATTTTTAAACATGCACTCTTACAGTGTTGTATTCACCTCAGGGTGGCTTGCTAGGGTGACAGGAGGTGGTCTGAGTTTGGTTTGCCATGTGCCATGTGGCAGCTAAATGAGCCAGGTTCTCATGCATAATTTCTTCAAGTCTAAATATGTATAGTTATCAGTTAAATTGTTAGTCATTGTGGCACACAAGACAAGAAGCTCATTTCACGTATTTTTTTCTAATGATTTTACTTAATTTATTTGTTTAATTTTTGTGAACATTTTGAATAAGGTAAACAGAAAATAAACAAGATTTTTCCACGGACAGCTTTTCATTCATTCACCCACTCACTCACTCACTCACTCACTCGCTCAATTCATTTATTCATTCATTTTAGTTTAGTTTAGTTTCGTTTAGTGTGTTCCAGTATTTCTACTGCCACCAGATAATGTTTAATTCATAAAAATAAATGCCACTTACTATTTGGTATTTTTTGCACATCCTCTTGAAATTGGGAAATGCAGAATACGCTTAAATGCTTTATTTTATTGCAAAGCAATATTGAAGTATTTGTCAAAATAATCAGATTTTCATCCAGAGTTATTTACTATATCATGCAATCTTAATATGCGTTTTTGTGTCGGCCGTTGTGTTGGTTATTTTTGATGTTACATTACAGGTTTCTCAGATGAGTGTATTGCTTTCTGGGTACTTGAAAGCTAAACATCCTTCAACATAATTAATTTAATGTCCTTTGGTTGTTCTCTGTCCTTTAAGGTGTGGGCTATGGAATGATGGTGGTCTCTACCTACATTGGGATTTACTACAATGTGGTGATTTGCATTGCATTTTATTACTTCTTCATGTCCATGACAAACCTGCTGCCCTGGACGTACTGTAACAACCCCTGGAACACCCCTGACTGCACTGGAGTGATGGGCACTCCACGAACTAATGCCACCTTCGCCAATGTGTCTGCTGTTGTGTCAGGGTTGACTGAGATAGTCAACCGCACCAAAAGGACCAGTCCTAGTGAAGAGTACTGGAGGTAAGTGCATAATTATTTCAAAATAAATAATTATAATAATTATAATTATTTACATAAAACATATTTATTAAATTTTATGAATGATTAAAAAAAAAAAAAAGTCTGTCCAAAAAGAGTCTTCTTGGATATTTAAAAAAAACTTTTAAGAGACTTATTGAAGGGGTCCTCTCTATGATGTAATTTCCTGTTGTGCAGTTTTTCTACATGTTGATTGGACCACGTGACTTTGATAGGCCAAATATTTTTCAAATATTAATAAGCAGTGAAGTAGTTGTTAATATATAGGAAAATAATAGGAAATAATAAGGGGTATAATAAATAATAATAAATTAATTTCATTTAATGACAAGACAATTGTATCAGCCTGACATTTTGACTTTATGCGCTCCAAAAATATTAAAATTAATTTGAATACAGAAATTAAAAAAAATATTTTCATAGTAGAGGTTTATTCAGAGGTCTTTATGCTTTTTTATGTTTATTTACATAAATTAACAGGACAAAAAATAAACGTCACTGAGTTCTGTATGTTTATACACAAATATAAATGCTAGCAAGACCCAGAGAGTTGAATATCAAGATAATTATATAGTCAATCCATTACTCATCAGTTCTGAAAATGCATGACAGATTGATAGTTGAAAGCTGGTAATTAATAGATGTTTGCAGGAGTCATGCATATTGTCTTGATGTTTGGATCTTTGTGCACTGGACATGGCAGATGTGTTTGTTGAATGATATTTGAACACTATGTAGGATGACATAAGACAATAGGACAGAAAGGCACAGAGTGTTTTGTTTTTCCAAGAGTGTGATTGTGATTGTATGTGGTTTGGAATGAATACTTCACTTTACTGTGGTCAGAGAATACGAGGCTTTGACCATGAGATGTTTGTGGACCGTTTAACATCTTTATAAATGGTTTGTGCTCTCTGGACTGTTGTTCCAGTGGTATGAAAGACATTCTTGTTCTTGCCTTCTGTAAACTCATTCATTGTGTGGCTAAGGTTGTTTTTGATGGGACTGTGCTCTTGAAAATTTTGATCGTTTTCATTTTTTTTCCGCATAATGCTTTTAAACTAAAGGCAAGCACTGATAAAAATAAGTGTTTAGATTAGCATGATACATGTTTGAGTTAATTGTTTATGCTTTGTATTACATCCTGCAGTCTCTCACACCCCTCTTTTACTGGCTTTTGCCCTCTCAGGAACTATGTGCTGAATGTCTCTGATGGTATTGGGAACTTCGGAGAGGTGCGTCTACCTATCCTGGGCTGTCTGGCTGTGTCATGGATAGTTGTGTTCCTCTGTCTTATTCGAGGAGTCAAGTCATCCGGCAAGGTGAGTTGAACATCCATTCCTGTGACATAAAGCAGAAATAAATGAAATTATAATATTAAATAATAAATCATGTAAATGTTAGATTAAAAAACTTAAATGAAAATGAGAAATTTTGCCTTGGCAACTAGCTGAAAAAAAGATAAGTTGAAGTACAAAAATTATTCAAACTAAACTGAAAAAAAAAGCCAAATTGAAAACTGATATTAAAATGATAACTAAAAATGTAAAAAGCTCATTCAAAATATTAATAAATTCTATGACATATAAGTAATACTAAAATAGCACTGCTTACCATACTTGCGTGCTTGTGAGTGTGTTTCTTTTGTTTTATTGAATTTTAATATTATGTCTTTTGTCAGGTGGTGTATTTCACAGCAACCTTCCCTTATGTGGTGCTGACCATTCTTTTCATCAGAGGAATCACTCTGGAGGGAGCTATCAGTGGTATCAAATACTATTTGACCCCTCAGTGGGAGAAAATTCTAGATGCTAAGGTCAGTACATTATACAACGGTGCATACTGTAACTGATCACTGATATTATGTTAATGATAACATTTTGTGTTCTGCAGGTATGGGGGGACGCTGCCTCTCAGATTTTCTATTCGCTGGGCTGTGCCTGGGGTGGCCTTATCACCATGGCATCATATAACAAGTTCCATAATAACTGTTTTAGGTAATAAACATTGTATTTTTATTTTTCTGCTTCTGTTTCATTTGAAGTATAACGAGTGCTTGATGACTTGCATGCATTACTCTGTAGCACCCCCATGTGGCTGGTACTGATAAATGCATGGAAGAACTTCTAACTTGTATTACCTGAAATCAAGGAAGGAATTAAAGAATTTCTGTTCAGATTGTGTTATGACTGCAGACTTAATAATAATACAATTATTTGTCTGTTTTCAAACAGAGACAGTATCATCATCAGTGTAACAAACTGTGGTACCAGCGTGTATGCTGGCTTTGTTATTTTCTCCATCCTGGGATTCATGGCTAATCATTTGGGGGTGGATGTGTCAGAGGTGGCCGATCATGGGCCAGGCCTGGCTTTTGTGGCCTACCCGGAGGCCCTAACATTGCTGCCCATATCACCGCTCTGGTCTCTGCTGTTCTTCTTTATGCTCATTTTATTGGGCCTGGGCACTCAGGTATTTTTATTTGTCCTTCTTTTCTCCACCACAAATTTCTAGATCAAAGTTTTTTTTTTTAATTCATTAATACTCACCATGGCTGCATTTATTAAACCAAATCTAGTAAAACAAGGAATATAGTGAAATATTGCTACAATTTAAATTAATAAAATAAATGTTTTGTATCGGAAAAAAAGGTCATACTGACACCGAGCATTTCAACAGTAGTGTAATTCAGCCTGGACCACTTATAGGACTCTATTCAGACTTTATTTTAAAGATAATTTCAACATTTTGTCTATTTTTGGTCTTATAATTTTTTGGAATTTAAAATTCAAATATGTAAATCTTCCAGCAACTGAATTTTTAGCATTCACAAGCTAACCAACAATGACTTCATTATAATATGTGACCCTGGACCACAAAATTCAGCCTGGACCACTTATAGGACTCTATTCAGACTTTATTTTAAAGATAATTTCAACATTTTGTCTATTTTTGGTCTTATAATTTTTAAGGAATTTAAAATTCAAATATGTAAATCTTCCAGCAACTGAATTTTTAGCATTCACAAGCTAACCAACAATGACTTCATTATAATATGTGACCCTGGACCACAAAACTTAAGTAGCACAGATATATTTGTAGCAATAGCCAAAAATACATTGTATGGGTCAAAATTATCGATTTTTCTTTTATGCCAAAAATCATTAGGATATTAAGTAAAGGTCATGTTCCATGAAGATATTTTGTAAATTTCCTACCGTAAATATATTAAAACCTAATTTTTGATTAGTAATACTAGCATTGCTAAGAACTTCATTTGGACAACTTTAAAGGCGATTTTCTCAATATTTAGATTTTTTTGCACCCTCAGACTCCAGATTTTCAAATAGTTGTATCTCGGCCAAATATTGTCCTAATAAACCATACATCAGTGGAAAGCTTATTTATTCAGCTTTCAGATGATGTACAAATCTCAATTTTGAAAAATTGGTTTTGTGGTCCAGGGTCACATATTTGCATACAGAATTGCAGTATGGCCCTGTTTGTTTGCATATTGAATTGTGATTTGTTCTTTTCTTTTTTTCATCTGTTTATCTTAAAATGCTAATTATTATCAATTTCTTTTCCCTTCTCCTTTTATGTATATGTATTTATTTACATTTTTACCTACAACATTATTATTTTGCTGCTTTACCATGCACTGGTATTTATTTCAGGAAATGTCTTGTTAACTAGTAGTTCATGTAAAAAGTGACGTACAATTCCTTATTTTCTTTCTGTTCATTGTTGTTGTAGTTCTGTCTGCTGGAGACTCTGGTGACGGCTGTAGTTGATGAGATTGGAACTGACTGGATTATGAAAAATAAGACATATGTCACGCTGGGAGTCGCCATAGTAGGATTCCTCCTGGGAGTGCCGCTCACCACACAGGTGAGTAACAAAAACACACACACACAAACACACACGTCCTTTATCCATGGATTGATCTATTGTGCTGTGTGTGATGTAGGCAGGAATATACTGGTTGCTGCTTATGGACAACTACGCTGCCAGTTTCTCTCTGGTCGTCGTCTCTTGCATCATGTGTATCTGTATAATGTATGTCTATGGTGAGTCCTCACTTTTTACATGCTCTATGTAAAGGCCACAGTAGCTGGATGTAAATTGAGGTGTTCATTTGAATGTTGTGTTCCCATGTAGGTCACAAGAACTATTTTAAAGATGTGGAAATGATGCTAGGCTTTCCTCCTCCGCTCTTCTTCAGGATCTGCTGGAGATATGTGTCTCCTTTCATTATTACTGTGAGTGACAGTCTGTATTAGGTGTTTCTGATTCAAGTTTTTCCATTTTCTGAATCAGATTTCTCCGTATCACTCAAACTAATCTAATCCTTTTTTGTCTCTCTCTCTTCACAGTTCATTCTGATTTTTACAGTGATACAGTACAAGCCTATTACCTACAATGACTATGTCTACCCAAGGTGGTCATTGGTCATTGGGTTTGCCATGGCTTTGTCTTCAGTCATCTGTATACCTATCTATGCTCTGTTCAAGATTGCTATGTCTGAAGGATCCACATTTTTAGAGGTATTATGTGTTCTGCCTTAAGAGCTGAGATTAGACAAAGAGTTTAATAATACTTTTGAAATATGTTTTAAATCATGTACGCTTACATAACTAGCCAAATACTTTATCTTGGTGTATCCACTTTATGGTGTGAACAACACCCTTAAATCAGCAAATCATTTCTACAATGTCATCGCCACCTTAAAACCGATGGCAGTGCTTCTGCACTTGTTTCAATATATTGTACCATCTACCAATGCGACATAAACAAAAAATTACTTCATTATTACTTCATCTTTAATGTTTTATTTATTCTGGATGTTTTGCACAGGCATAACTTTTTTTTTTTTACGATTTTGGACAACCAGTGCATTCCGCCACTTATAGTATTGGAGTAAATTTCCTCTTTGTTCAGCCCATTGAATATTTGGTCTGCTTTTTATGTTTTGTTCATGGTGTAAATACAGCAAAAAAAAGTTAATCATGGTAACAACTACTTTTTTCCTAAAAAAAATTATCTAGTTTTAGCTTTAAAATGTCGATCCTGCGTCAAAACTCTTACTCTGACTCTTACCTCTGCAGCGTTTGAAGAACTCCGTGAAGCCCGACCCGGACTGGGGTCCAGCTCTCCAGGAGCACCGCAAGGGCCGATACGCCACTGCGGGCCCCGAATCTGTGGAGGTGTGCCCTCTCAAAGAAGAGCTGAAGGATGAGGGGAAAGAGAAACTCAAGGAGAAAGAGATGGAGAAAAAGGATGAGATGGGTTTGACCATCCCAGGAAGCAACGGCTCCACATTAAACCCCACACCCAGCGCATAGAGGAGCCCTTCCCCACCCTCCCCCCAGGACAGTTCCCATTCCCTCACTGTGGGACAGGCCACTCTCGCTGGAGACCTTTACATATTGTAAGGGCTTTATGAAATCTAACCTCTAGAGAAATTGGTTGTCATCCAAAACCTTTTTCTTTTTGTTCGCATAATTTAATACTGCAGTTTTTTTTAAAAGACAAGAAAAAAAGACATGTTCATTTACAGGAGGTGTTTGCATACACGCAGTGTGTATATAGTGCATTGTACAATATTTTCACTCTGTGTTGAGTAGTCTGAAAATGTGACTGTAGCAGCAGCAGGAGCTACAGTGGGATTTGGCTTGTGCGTGTGTATAGTGGCGGCAGTGCTGGTCAGGTTTAATAGCTGAAGACCAAATATTCTTTGTGGCAATGTTGTAATGGGGAGATTTATTTTCAGTTTCTGTTTTATACCCATTTTCTTGTTTGGGAACCATCTCATTCACAAGACAGTATGGGTTTTTCAATGGCCGATGTTGGTGTCTGAGAGCAGGGTGGCTGATATTCAATGTAATGCCAGTATATGATATAATACATGTTAAATTACCTTTTGACACTGTATTAACTCCAGATCCACCTAAAACTACAAAACAGAACACGTCTATTATCCTTTGATTAGACTACCAGTACATTTTAGAGCTAACACTTTCGTTAATCAGCCAAGTAAACTAGCTGATACCAATAAATAAGCATAGGCAAAGAGAATATCAACTTTATTTCCAATTAAGTGAGAGAACAAATATAAAACAAAGGATATTTGGTCTTAAGCTCTTACTGACTGAGGTATCTGAACCGAGGCATATCACTTCTCAAGCCCATTCTCAGGGTTACACACAGTTTGCTTTTTTGCTAAACATTTTCCAACACCTTGAGATGATTTGTTGCTGATGTTGAGAATTGGACACGAAGGAGAGGGGTTTTCATGTAGGAACTGCCACATGAAATGCCAAATCTGTCTTGTCTTCCGGGCATCTCAAGTCAAGACATCTCCTGAGCGAGGGGGCAGCATGTGTGCGATAACAGAAGCAGCTAGTTCCTCATTAGATTCAGTACTGTAGTATGCACACTAACCCCACTCTACACGGAAAAAGAGGCATGTTACCAAAAACGTGCACAAACCTTTGTGTTCTGATTTAGTTGGTATGTTTGTGTTTGTGTGTATTTTTTGTTGTCTGTGTTAAGAGACTTGAACTGGTGTGTATGTGTCATTTAAAGGCATCTGGCTGTGCTGAGCTGAACGGTCGTGTCATCGAACACTGAAATAAGGGGTAAGGTTGCATGTGGAATGACCAGAAGTAAACGTAGCATTAGTCAAAATCACTGTGGTTAATGGAATTTTTTCCTCGTATTGTAAAATAATGTGAAATAGACTTGCAAGACAAATAAAAGGCCAAACCATCCCATTTACGCAATAGAAACCACAGAATTTTATGTTAATATGGTGCATTTTGTTTTGTTTTGGTTTTGAAGGCAATAGAGAGGGGAAGATACTGGTATGGAGAGTTATGTTCATATTTTTGGTATGGTTAGATGCCGCATGTCATTTCATTCCAGTGACATTTCAACAAGGCCCCTTTACTTACGATGCATATGGTTATAGTGGCACATGTACATGGATAAAGAGTCCTGGTTACACTGAATTTGTCTGGGATGCTGCCTGACTCCTTTTAACAGGGAGTCTGACAATGCATCTGCTAATGTGCTGACGCGTCATGTATTGAGACTTGTGATTAAACAGTGAATCGCTGTATATAGTCAAGTCAAAGTAGTTTATCTGGTATTTCTCTTCTCTGGTGCGAGGAGAAATGCCATATGAGATGTGCTCTGTCATTTTGAGTCGGAAAGAGGTGAAGAAATGCGATTATAAGTGGAAAAAAATATTGCTTAGTTGCATTAATTTTGATAATACAAAGTCTCCGCTTTCAAATTAGCTTCATTTTAACATGTCACTGTTTGCTACAGCTGCCTCAGTTTAAAATCAGCGTGAAGCACGAGTGAACCGATCATCTCTTTTTCTTTACTACTGGTTATAGCACGAAAAAATAAATGAATCAGAAGGTATGTTGAAAGATGCAGTACAACTTACTGAATGTGTCGTCTCTCATGTAATCGTGTTTCGAAAAGATGTGAATAAAACTGCTTGTGAACGTCACCTGACGTTACATTTACCTCAGAAAAGTCATTCAGTGTCAATTGCTCGAGGGGAAAAAAAACTTTGTAAATATAAAATCTTAAATATAAAAGTATGCTTGAATAAATCACCAGATTCTATCAAAAAATATATGCAAATTGTTTGGAATTTAGATGTCATTTTCTCAAGTTTTTGTGGCAGCACCATTTAATTATATTTCAGCAAAGAATCGTAAACAATTTTTTTAAATATTTTTGAAAGCTTTCTTATATATGTTTGAGACTTTTTCTTTCAGTGCATAAAACTCTAAACTCTGACTCAAAATGATGGAGCAGGTCACAGATAAAGTCAGTACTCAAAAACCTGATGGCATAATAGTCTACATCTTTGTGATATGTACATTTCATTAATTTCTGCATGAAGGTATGATATATCTATTTTTAAGGTTTTATCCAAAAATATACAAAACACAATCTAACTTTAAGAAGTAGGGAAAAAAGAGAGAAGAATAAAAGTAACCCTGCTGCCTAACAGGAGGTATCTGACACTCAGGGGAGTAGTTAGAGGTTCATTGGTCTTAGCACAACCATACCTACAGGTCACGCACTCTAGCTTTTCCTCTGTTAGACAGTGCCATAGATTAGAGCAGCAGTTTAGGTGTCGGGAGGCTAACAGCACTTTTTATTTACTGGTTCACTTTAGCTGGCTACGTGCGCGGTAGCTACAGTATGATTAATAATCGCTGTCGGAAATATGAATGCGCAAAATTGAAGCCCTCTCATTTTTCTGATGTGTGGTCCTCAGACCTTGAACGTGGCATGAAGACCATGTGTCTGTCTCTAGGTACTGCGATGTGAACAGATCTGGATATTGACCTCGACATGCAAACTCTTTATAACAATAGACACGTTATGCATCAGTGCCATTCTTGCACTGTTCCTCTTTCTCCATTGTACAGTAATGTAAAAAAAAAAAAAAAAAAAAAAAACCATGTTTGTGTTTTCTGTTTTTATCAGGGTGGGTTGCTGTAGTGGGGTTTATTTTTAGTTGTTTTTACATTATTTCTTATGGTAACGTAGCTACTGTTATGTGTACAGAGTGTTCTGTGTAGTGGACGTTCAACTGCTGAGTCAAACCTAGTTCATGTTAGTGTCACTGTTGATATAGTGTAATTTTAATCAGTATGTAATTATCCGCTTTTTGCCATTTAACAAACAGAATCTACCTTTGTAAGAGATTTGTCCTTTTTATTTTTATAGTACTAAAACTGTATTTTATCATCAGTTGTAATAATTTTTAGCTTTGTTCGGTGACACTACATTTTATTTCTTTTTTTCCCCCCTAAACCTCTTCAAGCCAGCTGATCTCAAACACATTGCCAAACTAAGGCTTTGGACTGAAACTTGAAAAATTCAGGAATGCTTTTTACAGCAGCGTCTGGTCAAACAGAAACCGTTTATTGATGAAGAAGGACACAGTCTAAAGCCAGCAATGTTATATCTTCATCTCAGTATTGTACACGTGTATTTGTAGTGCTGCAAACCCTTTAAGAACATTTCTGTCTGCACGTGATCCAGTTTCATTTATTATGCACAATGTAAATGAAACCGAGAAAGCACATTTGATTGCCTGGAAAGAATGTTTTAACACTTATGCCGATCTTTGAATATTTTCGAAATGCATTTGAAATGAACAAAACTGAATTAATATTTTCTGAATTTTATTTGGGTATATTAAGATGATGTTTCTGAGAAGAACCGAACACTTTTTAAGTGGACTTTTCTTCTAATTTGAACGGGCTCTCAAACTATATTTCACAGTTTCTTAGTGCAAATTGAATTGTGACGGCATACTCTTTGAAATGACATGAAAGGGCTGTGTTTAGAACAAGCAAAACAGAAATACTAGAATCCAGTGTAAAATATGCACACAAATACCTCTTTGTCCAAGATGGAAATATCCATTAAGCACAGTTTTGTGTCTGTATTAAGAACTATAAAAAGAATCAGCATAACTGAAACTGTGAACTTTTTTGGTTAATGAAATGTTTATTCAAAACCGTGTCATGTATTTTCATGTTGTTACGGCACTTTAAAAATATGTGGTTGAACGCAACAGAAAATACAAAATTGCAACAAAAAAAAAACCTTTCTCTCCCTGTCCTGCATCCTAAAAGCAATGTCTTTACAATAGTGTGTGTGTTCTTCTGTGCTCATGGCAATATAGTAGTGAAGTAGAATGACAAGCACAATGACATGAGCTTCAAACATATCTAACCATGTCTTTTCAATTTTAGGGCCAAACAGCATTGAAATTGTCTTAGTCATGTCAGCTGTAAACTGTTCAATTTGAAATGGTAAATAAAGTTTATTTTAAAGATCAGCTTGTGGTTTGTGTGTTATGGCTTTTTTCCCCCTATGAGCTTCAACTAACTGACAGTGTGTAGAGCAGCATGCATCAATTCTCACAGAGAACTGAGCAGGCTGTCAGGCTGAGGAAGACACAGGTGTCTGCTCCCCCTCTGCCCCCTGCTGGCTGTTATCTGCACTGCAGGAGGAGCGGACTGGAGACAGTCTAGGTCACTATTTTGAGTCACTTCCATCTTTAGGAAGAAGTCTTTTACAGATCTGGATGTTTTGACAGGGCCCGCTGGAACCAGTCTGAAGGCTGAAGCTCTTAGTGAATTTCCTCTGTACTAGCACTCTTTGTTCCCATATTCCAAAGCAGAAATAGGGATCGTGGATTCAGCAATTGAGTAGCTCATTAGTGGCAAATCGCTCCTGATGTGGTTTGGGTCTCTAGGCGGACATGGTTTAAAATGGGGGACTGTTGAGTTTGATGGTTTCAGTCCTTCCGAATCATTTGCAGAGAGAGCAAGTTTGCGTGTCTCCCTATAACAGAAAAAAAACATATATATATATATATATATATAGTTCGGTCATTAAACTCTTCCAAGCAGCTGATTGGTTTACTTAAAGCCGATTGCTCATCCAATCATTTGTTCGTTCCTATCTACGTAACCTATTTATTCCTGTTTTGTATTGAATCAGTTCATTGCAGCATGCCATGGGATTTCAATAACACTTCCCCATCCCCAGCACCACCTGCCTAGATCTGCTCGGGGGTTCTCCCTATTTTCCTTGCGGCAGTCTGAATTCAAGTCACCATTTCACGTGTATTTCAGATGCATCCTTACTCCAGCAGCAGCAGCATCAGCAACGTAGCAGATCTAGTCCACCAAGACCAAGCCTATGCACATTCCATGCTTACTAATAAATGCTGGTAAAATTCATTCCGAGAGTTGTCATGAAATATATATATATATATATATTTATGGATATATTATATAATATAATGATACATAAAAAGCTACATACAAAGACTTATTCTAGGAAGGTGATCTGACCTTGCATGGATTTGTTGGTTTCTGGCGCTCTGATTATTTGTGTTGTGGCAGCAGCTTATTAAACTCTGCTCATTCAGATCCCTCTGAATGAGTCTCCGTTCCTCTTTGAGCTCTGAATCCAATAGAGAAAACAAAAAATCAGTAATAGGTAGTCTGCTCCACCACAAACCTTTTTATGACCACCTTGGGAAGAAAATCTATTCTATTAAAAAGAGAGAAAGAATTCTGCTTTATTACTCCAATTAACAAGCATACTGGTATGAGAAGATTGGCCTTTGTAGATTGAAGATTGTAATCTTGCTCAACTGACAAGTGCTTATGAAAATGGTTCTAAAACTGGTTCTAATTACTGATTTATCTTAAGTTCTTTAATGAAAGATTTCTTGTCTATACAATCAAAAGAATCTGCACATCACACACTGGTTGACAGTTTTTTTTTTTTTTTATCAGCCCAAAGGGTTAAAAAACAAACAGGAAAAAAGTGCTTCCATGGTGAACCACTAGATGGTGGTGATACACAATTCAAAAGTCCACCACGTCTGGAGAGTTCAAAGATTTATAATATGATGATTTAATGGTCATTATGATGTAATGTACATTAAGAAAAATTATGCAGTAAGACGGCTCAAGAAATGAGACTGCAGGGCACCAGTTGACTATAACGTATGGACAAATACTGCTCAGAACTATAGTCTTGTTTTAGTTCAATCTGTCAATAGGCTTTTGTCTGAGACAGAATTGTGTGAAAACTGAATCCCTTTGTCAAGATTAATAATCACATACCTGCTATGGTGGGTTCAGGAGATAAAGGTTCTGGCTGAGCTCTGGCTCTCCCAGTCTCAAGGTTTTCCTGTGATAAAACACATCAAAACAAGTCAAAGGATTTCAGCTCCCACCATGACACTTTCATTTTCTCCACTAAGTTTAAAGGCAGAGTTTGCTGCCCTTGGTTTGCTGGTTTAAGGTCTCACAGTCTGGCCTAGCTAGTGTTTAGCTGAGCACTCAGTTAGTCTCCCAGTCTGACCTGGTGAACAAACAAACAATCACAAAAACAAATTCCCTTCTAAAACCAGTCAACAGACCACCCTGCGAGACCAGCAAACCATCTAGGTTGGTAAAAAAAATATTTCTTTTTTTTAACACAAAACAAAATGTTGAGGTTATTAAGTTTTGTTGTTGTTGTTTAAAGAAATTAGTTTTAATCAGCAGGGACACGTTAAATTGATCAAAAGTGACAGTCAATACTTTCTTTTCAACTTTCTATTTATCAAAGAATCCTGAAAACATGTATCATGGATACCAAAAATACTAAGCAGCAAAACCATTTTCAACATTGACAATAATCGGAAATGTTTCTTGAGCACCAAATCAGCACATTAGAATGATTTCTGAAGGCTCATGTGACATTGAAGAATGGAGTAATGACTGTTCAGCTTTACCACCACAGGAATAAATTAAATTTTAAAATATACCACAATAGAAAACATTATTTCACCAAAAAGTGAAATAATATTTCACAAATTACTGTTTATACTGTATTTCCTCTGTAAGCATGAGTTCTTTTGACATTAAAATATCTTACTGACGCCAAACTTTGAACAGTAGTGTACTGCATCAGTAATTATTAAAATTCTTGTTTGATTAAAACATGAAAGCACAAAATATTCTAGAGTTTCTGTGACTTTTGAAATCAGATTCAGAATGGAAAAAGTGACAGATTTAACATGAAATGGTTTTGTCTTTCAGGCTTTATTATTATAGTGTGTTGTTGAAGCAGATCCAGAGCTCACATAATGATTCCACAGCACTGCTTCACTGAGGCTGAGCTCTTAAAACTGGACTCCAAACTACATGCTTTCGCTGCAATGCCATGGATCTCCATTAGCCCACATGTTATATGGCAGATGAGTAGTATTACACCAATCTGCCTACTGCTTTGGTTTATTTGCTCTGAGTCACTGCTGTATCTTGTAGAGTCATGCTTGCTGTGCATTATACACTCATCCTTTTAAAATGAAACAAAAACAAACAGAGCTCAGCTCTATGAGGAGAGCGCCCTCACTGACAACGTATGGGAGACTATTCATTTTAGTCCTGTGGTCTAATAGTCTAATCCAGCTGGAAAAGAAATACCAAAGCCACAGTTATGAGGGCAGTCACTGAAATCTAAGAGCAGAGAGAGGCACAACACCCTCTGCCACACTCCCTCCACACTCAGTATGGTCAAGAGTCAGATGAGCAGATGTCTGTGGGACAGGATTATTATCGCTAACTAAAACTAACCATTTAAAAAAAATTACTTGAAATAAACAGGAGCTTGGCAGCGAACGCAGCGTCTCTTTCCCTATTCAGAGAACATGGGTTACATGAGTAACCCGAGACATTCTCTTTCATAGGTACACTCAACGCTGCGTAGCTATGACGCAATGGGAACAATATACCACACCCGCCAAGCTAAGCTCTGCCATATCTGACCCAATGCAAAATAGACCAGGCTAACCTCAAATGGCTGGTTCAAGCAGAAATAATCTGTGAACCAGGAGCCGCATCTAAATCCAAGCTATAAAACCTGATAAAAATGTGAGGAGAGGACCATCCTGCCACCACACAGAAATCCACTAGGGGAACTCCTCTGAAAAGAGCTTGAGAGGAAGCAACACTCATTGTAGAATGAGTTTGAATACCTAGCCTTGAAGAGAGACCTCACACCTCATACGCAAGTGAGATAGCGTCCCTTACCCAATCAGAAATCCAATGTTTTGATGTGGCCAGCACCAAAACACACCAACAATTGGGAGGACTTGCAGCATTGGCTAGAGTGGTCCACATAGAGCTTCAAAACTTGAACCGGGCAGAGCAGGTGAAGCCTCTCGTCCTCAACAGAAGCAAAAGGAGGACAGAAGGAGTTAAGCACAACCACCTGGGAACAAAATGACGTGGACAAGACCTTGGGGACCTAACTGGTTCTGGTTTGTAGGAGTACCTTAACAAGGCCCGGAGCAAACTCCATGCATGATTCGCTAACAGAGAGAGCCTGCAAATCCCCTACGTGTTTGATTTAAACCAATGCCAACAGGATTGTTACCTTAAGGGTCAGAATCCATTCAGAAGCCCTCCAGAATGATAAACAAGTCCCAGGAAGGAACACTGACAACACCGCTGGCCTCAAACGCCAAACCCCATGCAGAAACGAAGAGACCGAACAATGTCTACCTAGGGGGACAGTGGTAGCAGTGGTAGCAGTTGCTCCAGCCACAAACTTCTCCTTCAAAAACTCCAGCACTAAACCAATCGGGCAGCTGACTGGGTCCACTTCATGAGCCAAACACCACGACTCAAAAACCTTCCACTTGGAAGAATAAAGCCTCCTAGTAGAAGAAGCCCTAGCATTATCAATGGTTTCCTGAATGTCCACAGGAAGACCAGAGGTCACAGACGATCGCACTTGATCGGCCACAACCATAGCCTCCAAATCTTGGGCCATGGGTGCCAGATCCTGCTCTGGAGTTTGGACAGCAGGTCTTTCCTGATTGGAATCTCCAATGGGGTGTGCTCTAGAAGGGAGACTAGCTCCGAGAACCATGTCTGGGACGGCCAGAATGGGGCTATCGACAGGAGGCGGACTCCGCACTCCCTCACTTTGCACAAGACTGCCAGAATCAAGTTGATTGGCAGAAATGCGTACAGCCTCAGATCCGGCCACGGGTGAGCAAAAGCATCTATCCCCAGATGTGCTGGGTGACATAGGGAGAACCAAAGGGGACATTAGGTTGATTCCTGCGATACAAAGAGATCTACCTCTGCCCTGCCGAAAAGATCCCAGATCTGAGCCACCATCTGGCGGTTCAGCATCTAGTCCCCCGACCTGAGTTTCTGCCTCGATAGGAAGTCCTCTGCAAGGTTCAGAGCCCCGGGAACACGATCTGCTCTCAGCGAAAGAAACCTGTCCTGAGCCCAAAGAAGGAGGCGGCGCGCA